ATTGTAGGCATGTAGAAAACTATTTCATTTTCCTGTCTAATTATAATTTGCGACAACCAATTTAATTATGAAGCCTTTTTGTAAACTGGCTATGATTTATCTTGCGGAGGATTTAGTTAGTGTCAATAGAAAAAAAAACAGTGATTGAAATAATAAATAAACAGAGTAATACTATAGTATTCTCAGAATAATCACACTTATTTCACAGTCTAATCCTGAAAAAGAATGACTTAGATGTATTTCTTGGCTGGACCTCAATGATCAAATTTGAAGCTAGAGCTAGTGGGATTCTAGTTTTATCAACCAGAAGTTCATACTAATCACAGGTGGCTGGGCTTAACAGTGTTAAGGCCACAGAATAGGTGCGTACTATACAAACCATTCTTTAATCGTTTACCCAATTCAAGTGTTGTCTATGTTTGTCGCACATGCTATTTCTTTTTGTCCTTGTCTTTTTGAAAGTCAGTCTCTGAGGGAACTCTGATATTTGAATTACCAATAGACCCTATCTATGGAAATAAACAACAATTTGATTATGAAATAGGATTTAGCCGCCTCCTTTATGGTTTCCTGTTGTACTGACACGCACTCCCACTGAAGATATTTTGATCTTAAGTCTAAACGGTTATCCACAGGAAGATATTTTTTATTGGCAAACTAATAAACAGCTAAATCATCAATCTGTCAATTGTAATAAACCACTCATCAACTGAAGGCCCCATCATTGTTTGTCAATTCAAAATCTCAACAACTACACCACTCTGTATTAACAAGTACTTGGTGATAGTGGGAAGGGAAAAGTCGCTGGAAGAATCCCCCAGCAGAGCAGGCTCAGGGAGGGACAGCCACCTACTGTGACTGAATGGGTTTGAAAGGGGAAGACAAGAGAAAAGACAATAAGAAAAAGAGCCATTGTTTAATAATTGCTAAGGATTAATATAATAGTGATGAATAAACACACATGGAGTAAAACGATGGATTAAACACAGTGCATCATTGGAAGCCTCCCAGCAGCCTAAACCTCTTGCAGGATAAATTAGGGATGGTTCAGGGTCGTCTGATTCAGCCCTAACAACAGGCAAGCAAACAAGCTATTTATATAGCTTTCAGACACTTTCAGACAACTCCCAGCTGAAAACAAAGTGTTGTACACCAAAAATGATACATTAAATAACAATTTAAAAAAAATATAGATTAATTAGAATTAATTTTAAAACAATAAAATCAGCACATTAGATTAAGTTAAAAGCTTTGTCAAAAAGGAAAATTTTAAGCCTAATCTTAAAAAAGTTTCCCTAGTGACAGGTGGTTGCCATGGGGTCACTCAACAGTCTGTAGGGCTGTGTGACTTCACAAATATTCTTCCCATGTGAATATCATCAACCTCCAGGAACCACTGGCCGGGGAATATAAATTTTTCCCATCACGACTGATACCAGATGGTCATGAACCAGTCTCTAATAATTGTTTAACATGAAGTGAATGAATCAATTGTAATCAAAGTATTATTAAAAATATATCAAATCAGAATATAATCAAAAATAGATTTAATCAAGAATTAATACCTTTTACCTTTTACTTTGATTTGGTGTGCGTACACGTGTGTGTGCGTACACGCGTGTGTGTGTACTTCTCTCTGCTGGGATTATTTGCATCACCGGGAAATGCAAACATGGCGTAGCCCGAATAATTGTCGGGGGCATGTAGAGTTTGGTTTGACTAAGCAAACTTTGACTTTGATATGTATGATTTAATAAAAGAAGATATAATGAGTTTTTTGTGATTTACTGGGTTATGTAGAGAAAATGTGAGAAACAGTGTTCCTATATAACTGAGCTGATGAAAATCAGTGTTTGACTGAATATGTCATAGTCCGCAGTCCTCAGTGGGTAAAATGCCATGTTTATGCATTGTGTTGATGTCCCTCGTTTCCCTTTTCCCCACATTGTGTGTGTGTGTGTGTGTGTGTGTGTGCACATCAGTATCTTGGTGTCCTGACTGCACTTGAGGCAGGGTGGATATTACTAGGATTTCCAGGAGAGTTGCAGAAACGAATGGACGAAGCGAGCAGGTTGCATATAGACACCAAGGGAGCGGAAACACAGACCATGGACACTGGGAGAACACACTGAACCGGAATAGGGAAAGCACACTCACCAGGAGCATGCACGGGGATTTATCTGCATATTGTTTTTGCTTCACAGTAAATAAACGCACTGTGTTCTACGTAGAAAGTCCTGCATTTGGGTACAGCCTTCGCACACCTGACAGAATATTCATATGCGATAAAGTTATTGATAAATCATGTTAAAGTACGATATAGAAAAGAAGGAAATGCAATGATTTTGAATTTTGTTTTAAATCATGTTGAAGTAAGGTCACATGCAGAGCGATGATATGTGGCTGGGCATCTCGTGATTCGATGTCACTACGGGTAAAGCCAGATGTTATCTCAGAAGATGTAATGCTGTGAAAGAAGTGGGACATTAGGACCAGGTATAAAAGTTTTGTGCAGAAGAAATGACTTGTTCTTCTTTTCATCTCCTGCCAGGCGAGCAGAACAGAAGATTAGCTTTGATATGTCCGTTCTCTCTTTACCATCTATTGTCTCAAAATAGCATTAGCTGTTAATCAGATGAGTATAATTCAAGTGATTTGATTATGTGATTATTATAATTTGATTTTAATTTGCTTTGCTCCTGCTAAACATAATAAAATATGCTGAATGATCGAAAAGTATAAATTGAGAACTTTTCCTTTTTAACCCCCTTAAGAATCAGCAAAGATATAAACTTCTCATTGTTATTACAGCACAGCCAAAAGACTTAACAGGTACCATATAAGTTACCAAGTGCAGAGGGACAGTTTGGCAAGCACACCTTTAGAGGCAGCAGGATCGACATCTGGAGGGCTGAGAAACAATTAGAGCTGGGTGAGTCTCCTTTCTGGCTCCAGCCAAGCTTTGCGTTGCCCACTGGGTAACACTCACAGAGACAATGATTTTTTAAATAGAAAACCAGTTCCAGTTCCTGTTTTGGGGCTCCCTATTTGAAGATCCATAACATAATAGTTAAGCTGACAATTCAAAGCACAATGACAGTGGCAGAATTTTATATAGTTATTTTAAAATACACTTCCATGCATTGAGGTTTCACAGGACTGATAATTTGTGTACGCATTTGAATTTTGCTGCCACACGAGGCCTGTAGAGTCTCCCGCCTTTGAGCCAGACACACCTGAGGATAATCACTCACCTCTTGCTGAGCTGTTGGAATAGTTAAAGTGTTTTTGTCGGCCGGTGGATGTGACTGTACTCACTGTGGCATCTCTTGTTTCCAGGTGGATTGCGGAAACGTGTGGAGGGAGCAGCGCACTGTTGTACATAGGCACCGAGGAGGACAAAACTTCACCACATATAAAGGAGCAGAATCACGGCACGGGGATTGGGAACCCACGCAATGTTTCATAGTTTCTTTTCATTGTAAATAAACACATTTCATTCAGAAAGACCTGCATTTGGCTCCTTCTTCAACCAACCCTGACACCGCTATTATTTTTTCATCAATTTTTCAACTCTACATTAGACCTGTAAAAACCTTTTTCCGAAGTCATTAAGGTTTTTAGAAAAAAAAACAACAACACTAAACATGGGCGGTTAAAGGTTTTTTAATTTATTCATCACAGAGTTAAAGTTACTGACTGACAATTCATGGTCTGAAAAATGAGAAAAAAACGTTTTCATTATTGTAGTGAATTCTGCATAGGTTACTTTGTGTAATGAAAAATGTCCTTACTGTTTTTCAAAAATGCATTAAGAGTGGTAAAAATGACTTTTATGCTATGAGAATTGAGACAAGTCGACTGAGAAAAACTATAAAGTCACTTCTATTGTAGCTTTTTAAATTGGATAAACAACACTTGACGTATTTGGCTCACTTAACTCTTTAAAAGAGACTTTAAAAAAATATTAAGTGCTCTGAAGAAAGAAATGTGCCAATAAAAACCACACAAAAGTATAACTACAATAGAGTATTGCGCTAACATCTGTGCTGCTAACTTCATAGACCTGGGAATATGCTTCCATCTGCTGGCAAAGATTAGTTACTGGCAATATTTTCTCCTGCTATAAGCATAACCCAGTGCCCAGATTGTGCAGAGGGGTGGCACTAATAAAATGAAAAGCAATGGATGTGGATTTTTACAATTGCATTCATAAATGCAATGCCAAGAATGGATCTGATTGGTCCTACATCCCTCCTGTATCAATATGACAAAAGCAAAACATGCCACAGACATGGCAGTGAATATTTTGGTCTAACTCCCAAAAACGTGCATACGTCATTGAGCTGACGGTACCATGGGAGGAAGCAATTGAGGAAGCATTTGAGCATAAGAAGCTGTGGTATGCCAACTTGGCAGCTGAGGCAGAGGACAGAGGCTGGAAGATCAAGGTGCGCCCGTTGGAGGTGGGATGCAGGGGCATTGTTGGGTAGCCGAAAATGTAATATGTTGACGATTTGTCACCTAGCGTAAAATGTCACGCTTTGGGAGTGAGAACGTGTTGAGGCGAGGAATTAAAAAATAAAGAAATTACACCAGATCTATTACATATTAGTTACTTTAATGTAATTACGTCACATATCATCTGGAAAATTCTAACTGCACTGCTAATATTACATTTTAAATTATGCGTTATAATTTTATTGGAGCTGCTTAACTTCCACAACTTAATATAACACAGAAAAAAATAGAGTAATGCAAACATGTTTGGCAGTGAGTCTCGTTCCTTGACCAGAGCAGACTGGATTTGTATGGTGAGTTATTCTTCTGTCAAATGATTGTCAGAATTTTTTTCTTTAAAAAAAAAAAAAAAATCCATTATTAAACTTTATTTAAAAAAAAATCCTGTACCTCCACCTAAAAAAACCTTTATCTTTATATATGGTAAACATTCATAACTGTGTAATACATCCTTAAATATAAGATTTTGTTGCCCTGATTATAAGAACTTAGAAACATGCATATACTGCTAGTTGAGAAAAAGTGTCTGTCACTTTATTCATTCTGAAACAGTCAGTTAACTTTACCGGTTTAATTAGATTTTAATTAGATTTTATTGTGAGTGTTGGAGTCTGTCATCATCGTGTTGCTTCATTCTAATTCATCCTTTCATTGTCCAACGCCTCACACGGGTTTTACCGTCACGGCACAGCCAGTACATCTCTGCTGCACAAGTCTCTGAAGCTATGAGAGAGATGACACTGATTACTGACAAAAGTATGAATAATGCATGTTGTGCTTTTTTTCACTGTAACATTTAATGTACATTTTAAGAATGTTTGTACTTACAAAAGATGAAATTTCTAATATCGCTCGTTCTTTGGTTTCAAAATTAGATAGTAAGGACACTTTTAGGTGAGCAATCGCTATTTGGGCAGAAAGAAAGAAATGCACATTTAGAATGTAATTAAACCTGCAAACTAAAGTAGTTGAAACATTTGGTGTTTAGCCACTTTTTTCAGAAGTGACACATACAATGAAGGAATCTTTGTCTAAATGTGAATTTTTGATATAGTTCTCAAATGGTGACAAACCTATAGCTGAATTACTAGAGGTGGGAGAAAATGTTGAAGAAAGACTGGATCCTGAGGTTGTGGTCACATTAAGTGGTGCAAGTGTTGTACTGTCTGCTGTTGTGAAAGAGATCATAGACAAAGAAGCTGTTATGATATTTATTGAAGCTGTAGCTTTTTGGTAGTGCAGTGGAAACATCTGTAATCAAAATGTAAATGTTTAAAACTGTGTATATATTTCTAGTCTCTGTATTTGTCTTCTCTTACATTGTTTACAGGTTGATTTATAGTCAGGACAGCAGTCATTCAATGTCACGCAGATCTCGTCACAGAAACACCCTCTGTTGCAGGAGTCGTTGCGCCCTGGGCAACATAGAGCTGGTGGACCCGAACAACCTGTAGTAACTGTTACACATAAAGACCGATATAAAATATGCACTGTCTGGCAGTATGGGCGAGGTGGACTCCTGTGAGCTCATGCACGGTATTATTTAGAAAGTATTTCTGACTAGCTAGAAAATGTTACTGTTAACATATTTTTAACAATCAGATCTACGAGGCAAAAAAAGTTTGTATGAGCTTTGTAAGTTAATATTCATTCTTTCACCTTCATTCTTTGGTAAAGCATGAAGTGTTGAAGGCAAGCCTTCTTTCAATTTCTTTAAGGATCCCTCAGGAAAATGAGTGAAAGCCACTGTCTAATGAAACATTTCTAAAGACTGGGAACCTTTGCTCCAGATTACTTTAAAAACTGACAACAAACAAGCTTTGGCTCATTATGACAGGAAATGTGAAGCTTTTAAAGATAGTAATCCAGTGGTACTCAGACTGTGGGGAGGGCCAAATTGGTGGAGAGAAGAGCCAGAACAGGAGACATGTGGACAAGCAGGGGAAACATATGAGGGGTAGCTAACTTGAATAAATATGACTTTTTCAGGAAAACAGTAGAAGATGCTAGGATATGGGTTCTGGTTATGTGGTGTTTTTGTCTGTATGTGTTTTTGGTGCCTTTTTGTATAGGTAGGCGGGGCAGTGAGTCACTGAACCTGGCATACCTGTTACTCATCAGCTGCATTCTTCAGAAGTGTTCTTTAGGAGCTACCTGACAGAAGACTAGTGTCGGAGTATTGACGTTTTTGGAAAGTCTGTAATTCTACCCCTGCCTGCTGGAGCCGTTGGAT